TATATATATATATATAAAATATAATATTTTATATTTTTACAAATAACCGGAAAAATATTTTTGTGTATTATTAATATGAAACTCAATAATGGAGCGAAATCTATTATTTCGTTTAATGGAAATAAATGTGCAACAATTGTGTAATAGAAAACTGATTACCAAGATTAATACTTGTTATAAAAAATTGACAAATTTTGTGTGTATGTATGAATAAAAAAGCTTAAATTATTTTTTATTACTTTTGTCGACAATTTTATTTCTAATCAGCCTTGATATAAAAGATTAGCTTTAATTAATGTAAGAGATTCCTTTAAATAAAGTTATATATATATATATATATATATATATATATATATATACACACACACATGTATTTCTTTCGATCCTTGTTATTAAAAATTGATTTGCTGGATAATTGGATAACTGACCTTTTCGACTTGTATTTTAAAAACTAAGGTACACATAACATTTTAATCTAATTAAAAGGGGAAACGCGCGTGTTATTAATTTAATATTCCCATTGGTTATTTGGCCTGATATTAAGAGCGATTTAATATCGGCGATTGCAAACGGCACTAAGCGAAAAGCCGATAAGTGGCCGGCTTTAACATCCTATCCATCGTCCTGTACAAAGAATATTGATTCACTGCGCGGTGTGTACTGATATTTATCGCTCACTAATTCCCATCAAACTCGCCGCGTATGCCGTCCTTCCCAACGCTACTTCCGGCCCCGGACGAACACCGGTCATCCTATTTGCGGTATATCGGCAGCGGCGTCGTGACGGAACGAGTTAATCCGATACCTCGCGCAATCGGAATCTCCCTCGGCAGACGCGTTTATCGCGAATCGGACGCATGCACTTTCGGCAGTAGGCATTGACGTTCATCGAGGTGTGCGGGATGCGCGTATGTGGACGTCGGTGCGGCCGCCGCCACCGGAGACGAGGGCTGGAGACTTACCGATACCGGTGATTGATAACGTTATCGATCACCGTGTCGAAGCTTCCGACGCGTCCGTGTCGACGGACACTACCCTCGCAAGACGCCCCTCTCCTCTCCTCTCCTCTCTGAGAGACGCACGTCGAAGCGTAGCAGCGCAGGGCAGCTCGCCGATGGGGATGGCTGGCTGGGAAGCGCGGCGGTGGCGATGGTGGTGGTATAAAAGACGTCCGCGGCAAAAACTGTGAAGCGCTCTGTAGAATTTTCAATAAGGCGAGGTCGGAAGAAGAAGATTAATGCAATGCCGCCGGGGGACCTTAGGAGACGACAGCGACATGACTGTCAAAAGAACATCCCCGGAGGCAGAGTCCATTCGCTCTCTCGAGCAGCGCAACCCTCTCCGTTTCCTTTCCCCTTCTCTCCGTCGCTCGCTTTCCGCATCTTTCCCTCTGTCTTTTAGCTCTCTCCGGTTTCTTCCCGCCTCCCCTTCCGTCTCTTCCTTTTCACCGCGTCTTTGTCCCTCTGTGCACGACCGTGCCTTGTCCATCGATAATCGCCGCAGATATGGGCGCAGGTGCGCCTGTCTTCGGGCAACCGAGTGAAATAATTCGAGAGAAGGGGAGAGAAAAAAATCCGTACGCTCTCGCCTTGTCGCCCAAGGCCGATCCCAACCTGATCGGGACTCCACGACCTCTTAGAGTCTCAATGCCCGAGTCAATCAGCGGGCGCCAGGGCAACCCCTAACCTCGGGGGTGAATCTCGAGACAAACTGCGCTGTCTAGCCGGCAGCAAAACGTCCGACCGATACTCTCGGGTGAGATCGCGCTGAAAAAAAAGAGGCAGAGGCGATTACGATGAAGCGCGTGATTCTTTCTTATATAAGTGACCTTAAGGAAAATGAATCATTTCGAAATTTATATAAAAAATTAGAGACTTTGAAATTGTAAATCTGATTAATTGTAATTTAAGTTCCATTATATTTCGTTTAATTTTACGGAATTTTATTTATATTTATATCGTTTTATTTATGTTATTAATTTATATCGTTTTCATTTAAATACTAACAATGTCAGATATATATAATTGACTAGATCTGATCAGTCAGATGATGTAAGAAGTAATTACAGTGATTCTTTCTTATATAAGCGACCTTAAATAGAAAAATGAATCACGGTTTGAGTATCATTTCGAGTATCAAAAATTGAAGACCTGATATTAATTACTTGCATTTTAAGTCTCATTTAATTACGTTTAATTTTATGAAATCATTATTTATATATTAAATATATATGATTGACTAGATCTGATCAGTCAGATGATGTAAGAAGCAATTACAGTGAAGCGTGATTGTTTCTTATACAAGCGATCCTAAGTAAGGGAACACAGAAAAAAAGAAGTGTCAAATCGAAACTTATATACTTAAATTAACGCGTTCTATAACTATAAATTGTTTCGTATATACGCAACAATTTATAATCTTCTTAGAAGAATTTAATAATTTTAAATTTCAACAATATTATAGTCTTATTTTAATATTGTAATTGTCACCTTAAGAATATATAATTATTTAATTCCATTTTAAGAAAATTATAATCTTTGATTTAAAAATGTTATTTTCTATCCAACATTGTTTCTTTTCTATTTAAGAAAATTAAATCATAAGAATATATTTTTTCGGATTGAATAGCTGCATAAAATGGCTTCAATCAAGTAAGCAATTATTCAAGCAATTATATTTTTCTTTAATTAATAATATATAATCTCATTTCAAGATTTCCATGTTAAAATTAAATATATTTTCAAAACAAGAACGTCCTTCTTTTCTATAAATGAATGGCAGTTTAAATATCATTTTGAATATCAAAAATGGAAGAAAATTGTAAATTTTTGATTAGTTGTATTTTAAGTTTCATTCTTTTTCTCGTTTAGTTATACGAAATCGTTATTTATATCGTTTTCATTTAAATAATAACAACGTGCGCTATCAAATATGTATGATTGGCTAGATTTCAGTCCGATGATATTCAATAACACATCGTTATCTTTTAAATGGGTATAAATAAATAACGATTCAAATAACAATTTAATGCTACGAAACAAAGCGATATGATGAAACCTAAAATACAAATAGCAAAGCTTTCAGATTCAAAATTTCTAATATTCTGATATTCTGAAAAAATGGAAAATAATTCTCACTCCTTTCCCAAATTCTTATCGCGTTCTCTCGTTTTCTTTCAGTCGGTCGCATGCGCGAAAAAGCGGTGTAGAAGCGCAACCAGGTATATTAGAAATATCTAACCCGGCAAATTCTTCTCAGCTTTCTTTCTAAAGCGTGTCCCGACCGATAAAATGTCTGTCTGAGCTGTCCGCGTTTAATGAAGATTTATATCCCCTGGCCGCGCTATATATCGCGCAGATCACATATGCGTGAGCACAATTGCAGCGGCAAATCTTGATTTAATGCGCGGCGCATTTTAATGTAATATATGTACATTTCATTCCCGAGAAAGATAGAGAGCTCTCGCATTATGTCGTGCCCCGGCAAAATACTCGGTGTAACGCGGAAGATTGCATCCGCTCTCTTAAAGCCTTCATCATAATTTCTCTCGTATCTCGTGCAAGGGATGCGCGAGTACGCGGAATCATTAGATTGCCCGCAAAAGCTGCGGCTCTGGTAAGCTTTCGTCGCAAATTTCTCTCTCTCTCTCTCTCTCTCCCTCCTTCCCGCCCTCTCCTTCCGTCGAATTTTCCCCTTTGAGATAGATTTTAACAAGATTTTAATATTGGATGTTGCTGCCTCTGATCTCCCACGTATTAAACTCCCCGCAGCAACGAGAGGAACGCGTTCCCGTCGATAAACCTGTACCGCCTAAGCAACTCTTCGCTGGATTCTGCAGCATCCGACGGATGGTAGGAACGGAGAGCGAATCTCCGAGCTTCGTGTAGCACCAACTGCAGGTCGAATTACACGAAGAGATTTTTTCCGATCGGCAGAGTCGCGGGAGAAATCTCGATATTATTTTAATTATGCGCGCAAATATTTTTTTCCTCAATCAATTAGCGAAAGAAAGAACTTATTCACGAAATGGATCAAACGTTTTCGAAACTTTAAAAGGATTTCCAATATGTATAATAAAAAAAAAGAGAGAGAGAGAGACAGAGAGCAAATAATAATATATAAAAATAATTTGTTATAACTTGCATATTTAAAAAAATGCAAATAATATACTTTAAAATAATAAACTTCTATTGTAATCTTTCCAGAAATTTTTACAGCGTTTGATTAAATTTTTTGTAAATTATACTGTACGTGTACATAAATAATATTAGACTTTTTCAATGTAGTATCATAGATATTTTTAGAAAACGGACAGAAAAAGGTAAAAGTGATATTTATATCTCGGAACTATATTTATTGCGATATTTATTCTAGTAAAAATAAATGGCTGCAAATCAATCTACATCGACCTATTACTAATGGTTTTTAATTACGATGCAGCAGCAATATTTTTTACTATAAAATATAAATTTATAACATATGACAAAATAAAAGTAAAGGTACCGCGAATATTATAGTTATATTTTATGTGGAAAAAATATATAAATATGTACGAAAAGGAATATTAATAAATAGAGAGAGATACATCAAAGCGAATAAACAATTTAAAAGATATTATTAAATTAATTATTATACCTATAAATGCTAATTATATGTGTGAAAAATACTATATTTAAAATTCACAACGAAGGAGATAAAATTAATTATATTCTTTTATATGACTGTAGAGAAATAGAAAAAAAAGAGAGGAAATATCATATTATAATACTTATTTTATAGGATTTAATAGATTACATACGTTTTTTATATTGTTCTATATATATTCCATGCAATATGATGTTGTAAATACAAATTGCATAATCAAGTACATTCAAAATTTTTAAATTTTTAAATTTTAAATTTCTCTATAGGGAATAAAAATCCTCAGACATTGATATCTCAAAAAACCTATTATCTCATCTTTTAAATCTCTATTATCTTACATCCTATTGTCATAAATTTAGCAACCGATAATACTTACTCTAGTCTATCTCGTTGATTCTCATCAGTTACGCGGAAGTTAAAGCCGGAGGACAATAATAACGTCCTTCCTTCTCCGCAGCGTGACGTGCGGCGCACTCCTTCAAGAGGACTTTAAACGGATGCGGAGTGATATTTTCGGAAGCTTTCAACAGCTCATCTGTGAGCTTCTGATACTCATCCGCCTGCCTCACTGCCTCTTCTCGGTGATACTTCCGGTCCTCCTCCAATTCGCGACGTCTCATCGCTTGGACGCACCTCTGTTGCTCCTTGAGCTCCAGCCCGTAACGAAACGCCCTTTGTCTGCTCTCCTTCCGTTCCATCGCGATCAAGTTGGCGTCCATCTCGATCTGCCTCTCGAGAGCCTCCCTCTCCTCCAGCTTGAACCGTCGTTCTTGCTCCTCCGCCTCCTGCTTCGTCCTCAGCTGTTCCTCCCGGCCGCGAAGGACTTCCTGCGCGGCTCGGTGACGAGCTTCCTTGAATTTCTTCACCGCGAGCTCGCGTCGAGCCTCGATGTCCTTGCGTGACTGTTCGATGATGGCTTCCACCTCTAGGTTCCGTTTGACTTCTTCCTGCCGCAGGTCCTCGAGATACTTCAGATAAGCCAATAATTCCGCCCGAAGAGCCGCCGTGTTCTTCTTCGCATCTGCCTTTTCTTTGGCCAATTCCTCTTCGACTAACGTGTTGAACACGTGATCTACTGCGGCCTCTTCACGAGCGCGTTCGACGAGGAACCTCTTCGTCGTTAGAATCTGCTCCTCCAGTTCCCTCTTCAATCCTTGCCGCTTCTGCTTTTCCGCTTCGAGATTTTGCAATTCCGCCTGACGCACGTCCTCCCATAGCCGCTCCAAGTGTTCCCGTTCGTCCTGTTCGATCTGCCTCTTTCTCTGCTCTTCCAGCACCAGCTTATCCTCTACTTGCCTGCTTAAAGCAAGCGCCGTTTCTCGTTGTGCTAGAGTTCGCTTTTCGGAGTCCTCCGCCTCTTCGCGCTTCTTCGCCTCGAGCTCCTTCAGCATCACCTTGTGCCACAAATCGTCCAGTTCCTTCTCGACCGATCTCTTCGCCTCGTTATCCGCCATCTGCGCCACGTTACATCGCTTCGCGTCGATCGCGTGTCTCCTCGATAATTCTCGCTTGACATCTGGACACGCGGCTAGATACTGTTGCATCCGTTTCGCGGCCACCATCGCCTCGTGTTCCTCCTCGCGTTGTTTCCTCAGCTCTTCCGTTCTCGCCCGCATTTCCTCGAATCGCGCGTCCTCGCCTCGTCGCGCCTCCTCCGTGATCTCTCTCGTCAGATTCATCTCCTCGCTCAACACGAGATCGCGCAGCTTCTCTCTACGCCTCTGCAAATTTTCCTCGTACGTCGACATGTCTGAGGAGTAATCGTTGCCCCATTAATAGCTGATTATTATTCCCATTCAACAGCTCCCATTACAAATGACGATTATGTACGGTCTAAGACATATGATGTATAGATTTATAACGAATAAAATTAAGTGATAATATGATGTATAGATTTATAACGAATAAAATTAAGTGAATAAATTTAATGTCTGAATAAAATATGTAAATTTAGCATTTTTTAATTCCTTATATCTGATTTTAATTTTGTCAAATTAAACGCACATATATCTTAATCATAATTTTATACAATTGAAATGTGTCAAAATTCAAAGAAAAATGAAAGATAAGAATTACATGTATGATATAGTTCAGTAGACAAGAAATGTGCATATATAAAGAAGATTTATTTTTCGTTCATCTTTTACCCTTGAATAAAAGAAAATTATCAACGTCTTCGTTAATACCTTGTTGCACTCGTCGACAAACATTTTTGTTCTTGACCTTTCGATTGGTCTCTTTCTCAAATTCCAGAGTTTTAAGAAACTGTCCGTATTTCCTCTTGTCCTCCTTCGAGTCCTCGAAGATAGATTTATCATGATACTTTGCGACCTGGCAATTTTTGCGCTCGCGTAACTTGTGCCCATAAGATATATTTGCCGTACCGGAAACGTCAACGGGATACTTCCTCGCTTTCGGTGAACTGCATCGTACTTTAGGTAGCGGAAGCAGGCTCATCTTTGAAGAGTAATCATTAAAAGAATCGATGAAAAGGCTAACGATCGACAGATACTTCTTTTCTGGACAGTGTTACTCACTGACAGATCCGATAGTGCGTGCTTCCTTGCTTGTTTGTGGTGATGGTTGCTATGACAATGGAGTCTCCCATCGAATTATTAACTCGGAGAAAATAAAGTAGGAGATAAAAAAGAAATGAGATGCAAAATTTATTCCATTCATAGCGTTTGTTTCGTCATAGGGGAAATGAATAGGAAATATATACGCGCATATATCGATATATTCCCAATTTCATCGCGAATCGGAGAATATTTAGGGATTTCGAGGGCTATGGATTATATTACGATCCTTTAGAATTTTGGTAAATGCGTTTCAAAGTTGCTTGCATTAGTGGAAACCTGTACAGTTCGAAATAATGCGCCCGCGGCGATGCATGCAGTGTAATATCCGTATCGGAATGATCGAATATTCAATATTCCCAAATTAGATAGGATATCTAATATGATGACGGAGGGAATGGTTACTATATAAATAGCATGCACGTTATTAGATATAATTAAACCAATATTGCAAATTCAAAAACAAAGGTATTTCAATATTATCAATGGCGGCTGTTGTCTATAATTAACATTCCTTTTTATTTCCAGCGCGATATAAAACAGACGAACCAATTTTAATCGAATAAATCCTATTTCAATGGCATTTATCGATAATTTTATGGAAGGGACAATAATGAGGACCCATCTCATAAAAGAATAATATAAAAATTATAGTATATCGTAGGGAATTAAAGGAAAACACTCTCCTCCGTTATTGTATTGTCAATATGTGTAACAATATTCTCTTTTAATTATAATATGTATAAATTCTTTGTTACATATATATTTTTCATATATATATGCACGAGTCAAATTATTAGAATTGCAACACAGTATATTTCAGGTTTGTAATTACATCTACTTATTTGCGTGATCGCACGAAACGATAGAATAGAAATTTGTATGTGTTTTTTCTTGCGCAGGAATGTAATACATTACACATTCGATAATATTGATAATTCATAATTTATCATAAAGTTATCTTTTATGAATGTTATTATTATTTTATAGAAAGAAATGGAAAATAAATTACCGAAATTATTTATAATTGAAGAAAATAGCCGAAATTATTTATAATTGAAGAAAATAGTTTAAACACATGCAATTGCAACAAACATTTTGATGAAATTTCGATAGCAATTTCCATAAATTGAAATTTTAAAATTCAATATGTGTGTACCATATGTAAAATACGCTGCAAAACTAATATTAAATAAATGTGATTATAAGTCTATCTTTTTTTTTTGCTACATCGAATGCAAATATGTATTGATACTAATATAATTATATTCATTCTCTACACTAATTGCTGTATCATCGGGAAGTATAATAGCGTCATGTAATTATCTTTATGGCTTTGTATTATTTCGCATATTTTTCGCATACAACTTCGAGCATGTCTGCTTTTCTTATCTATTCGATCAAGAGATGTCAAGGTATATATTGTGTATATGTATATCTCTAAATAATACTTGTCAGTTATGCAAAAAACATACGTCGCAGCATAAAATTCTAATAAATCGTATGGATAAGTTAACGGAAGCATAATTAAAATTGGCAGAATATAATAAAGAAGAGCGCGTTACCTATTACACGACAAAGAAAGTAAAAGATTATTTATAATCTTACCTAAGTCAAGACAATACTTATTTATTTCTATTATAGATAAATAATTAACGTAATGTAAAACACGTGTATAAATGATTAAGAGATGAAACACTTGAACTGCATTACTTGCATCCATGGATAGAGAATATCTGATGAACGTGACACGCCACGAAAAGTTGAGCATTTTACAAAGTCGAGTTTGTTCGATTCTTTTAATCGAACTGATATTTAATCGGATTAAGTTACTCATCGAAAACGATATACGTAAGCTGTTAAAATAGCACTAATAACGAGCGTTTTTCCTCGTTGACCTATCGCAGAGGTCGAATTGTCTAACGAAGAGCTTTTCCTCTCGCGTATCTCTTTCGCGAAGGAGTTTCGAAACCGAGCTCTCCATTTTCTCCACGGGTCTGATTCGCTCACAGAAAGACAAAAACGTAATAGCAAGAATACCAAGATGCGAAAATACTAAGGCGTCGAACTACTGCCGGTGCTTGCTGATGTGATCCCCGTTGGCGGTGGAGCGGAAGCTGCCATTGTCGGTGGCGCGTAAGGACTTCCGCAAAGCTGGTCGGCTATACGTCCGCCTTCACGAAGGCCACTGAGAAATGCACCATGCACGGTGGCTGGATAATTCCGTATAGTGTGCTCTCCTGAAAATCCGCCGTGTAGGTAGATCACACTCCTCTCGTCGAAATAGTTGTCAGGACGCGACACTTAATTCGTATTCGATTATCATATCTCTCTATGCGTTGCCAGATTTGAAATTTATGTTAAACAATACCGTCTCTCTTGACATTTATCGACAGTTTTTCGTTAAATTCCGACGAGCGTCAATTCAATCTGCTTACGCGATGACCGATATTTCGCGAATAGGAGCATCTTCAAATAGCATCAAGGAAATTACTGTGTGTGCACACAAGTTGGGAACGCGATAGCAAGGCAAATTGCATCCTGCGCATCAATCAGAACGTCCTGGGAACGCTTACGTTTTACGCGGATGTAAATAGCACAAGCACAAATATACATCAATGGAGAATTTGAAGAGATGTAATTGTTTGAATTTCTCGTAGTTACGTTAATAAATCGCGTTACCAAGTTTCGAACGGATATTTACCTGCAAAGAATACTCGTGGCTGCGGCGGGGGCTGGTTAAGCATATGCGGAGATGACACGGGCGCTGCCAAAAGGTCGTAATCACTGCCAGAACTGCCGACTGCGACGAAGCTGTAGGATCCACGCGCCCAAGGATCCGCACGCCACCTTGTCACGACACTTTCGCGTGGCTGTGGTACCACTTGGTTCCCAAAAATACCCTACGAAAACGTAAAAACAATCTCTTTGATTTTTTTTCGTAAAGTAAAGAGAATTTCTAGGCGTTAAAATCACTTTCGCGTCTAAAAAAGTCCATTGTTGGAAAAAGATTATAATAAATGTATCACAATATTTAACCAAGTTAAAAAGATAGATCAAGAAAGATATTAGACTTTGATTTAAAATTTATTAAGTAGTGTTAAAGTTCATTAAGAAATTCGACAAATATAACTTGTTATTTAAACTTTATATAAATACAAATATCTTTGTACATTTTATTTAGACTTATACTGTAAATTTTATACAGCACATTACCTTAAATATTTTTGTAAATAATCGTTGAATTTAAATATATGATAAAATAATATTGTGACAATTTATTTAATAATATTGATTTAATACAAATATTTTGGTTGATAGGTTTTTTAAAAACTTTGATACATATTGTATATAGAAAAAGACTTCTGCATTTGTTATAATAAATATAAATTTCAAGAGGCGATCTGATGAAATAAGAAATGAAAATTTTTATTTAAAGAAATTGACTAGCGAAAGTTAATATCGGTGAGGCATTTCGATATACAATACTTAAGCTGAATAAGACGGCTGGGATCCGATGTACCCTTCACCTTTCGCGCGCCAACTAGAAATTTCATCCACTTACTTTCAGTACGGCGATGCAACGGCCGACGATAACATCGTCACTGACATTTTCCATTACGCAAGCCGCTTCACCAGCGACGAGGGCCAGCAGGACAGGCGCCTTGTATAAGTTCCAGAACAAGAAGAGCTCGCCGCGTGACGCGGTGGTACTTCCCACGTGGCCGAACAAATTGGCCGTTGGATCCCAGAAAATGCGCTCGAAGCATAATACCACCTGAAAAATTGAAGAGAAAATTACGAGGTTAAATTATAGTATCGAGATATGCGGAAAAATTTCGAGCGAAAAACAAATTCAATCTCAATTTATATAATTTAGTAAGTAATCAAACTTTATTTTTCAAACTTTATATATTTTATTAAATTTCGAATATTTAATAAAATTCTACTTTATTAAATTTGAGGGAACGTCAATTTTGTTACGTTTGGCCAAGCTTCAATTCCAAGCGATAAAAATAATTTATTTTAATTTAATTTCAAGATATGTAATTTTTAAACTATTGTAATTTAAACTATTGTAATATAAATCTCTCCTTTTATACATTTCATAAAAAAATATAATAATTGCACAATATATATGTCGCATATTGCGTACAATTTACTTGTTTATTTGTGTTTATAATAATTATTTTTCATTCACCGACGATACCTAAAGGCACCCGACATTGATACCTTTAATGCAATCTTCCTATTCAATAGAAGAGTGCACATTAATTACTACTGAAATCCGTCATTAGCGAATCAGATAAGACTCGATCCGCGATTATGCAGTTTTAAATGCTTTTTACATCAATGTGATAGGATCATCCGTCACTTGACGAGCAACATAAATCAGACAAATCGCTTTAGGGGTTCGATAGAGATAGAGAGACTTGTCGAAGGTACCTACAAAACGTGCATACATGAAAGATCGGTGCTCACCTTATTTAAATTGCCAAAGCCCAGTCGTTGAATCGCCTGAGATTTCCAGTCCGGAAGCTGCGGGGTGAAGCTGACACCGGAAGGCGGCGCGGATGTCTTGAGGACGCCGAGGGGCAACGTAACCAACACAGCATCAGCCTTGTAGACGGTGTGATTTGTGTGCGGGCTACGGGAGGGTGCGGCCCAGACTTCCACGCCGTTCTGACCGTATCGCACCGCTCGGACGGCTGTGTTCAATCGGATATCGAGTCCTTCCGAGAGAGCAACAGGTACGCAAGAATAACCGTTGCGAACTGCAAAAAGAAGGGCAAAGTGAGCGGATCAGTATTCGGATTTATCTCGATAAATTTCTCCCACATATACCGCGAGGGATATTTATTTTACACCGTGTATATACCGCGGGGAAGGTACCTATGCGTAGGGGAACCCCCGATGGCCATTCGAGAGGAGATGGGGCGCGTTTAACGAACTAGGTCGCGGCCAAAGAGAGTTTCGTTATGTACGTTCCTTTGATTTCGTGCACCTAAACACAGCGATATGCTGAATTGTACCTCCTCGGTAGCTTTTACACCCAGAAGAGCGGATCAAATCAGAAACGGCTTGCTCGCTCGTATCAAAAGGTACCCTTCTCCGGCGAACGTAAGTAAATATCCACCGTAGCGATGTTATATGGGATGCAATAGGGAGCTCCATTATGACTTAATTGGATATTTCGCGTTACGTGCGCTTAAATCAGGACACACCTAAATTCTCGTAAGCACCAGCTCTCCCCTGTCCCCTCCGGTTTCCCCGAAACATCGAGGCGTGTACTAATAATGATACACAGGCGTCTCCACTTAGGTGGTTAATTATGTTGATGGCTACCACGGTGCTAACAAGCCCTATCCTCTCTCCCTCTCTCTTTCTCCCTATCAACGTTGCGTCCTGTTTCAAAGATTTAAATTTACGCGTGCGTTATGTCAGGCTGAAAGCACAATAATTTAAATTAGCAGCATTTCGGGACGTGGTTGGACGCGCCTATGCATTATCGCGGATATTTCGACCGGCCACGGTCCCTTCGAGGGACCGGCGTACATATTGATTACGCGTAACGTGTCGAACGTGTCCGCGAGATACAATCGGCGAAATGTTGCCGCAACCTTGGCCGGCAGCTAATGCGATCTATCGCGCTCTATCGCCGGGTTTGGACGATGGGCGCTACATCAGCCTCCGGCTGGAGCTGTCGATGTTAACCGTTCGGGGATCAATAAATCATGACACGTACATACGGCAACGACACCGGCGTCGTCGTTAAAAATTTATGCGCCGACGCCGGTATTGTAAACGTAACCGGAAATGTTCCCAAAATGCCGTGTATCTGCGCGCGACAGCTAATGACAAACCGCGCGATGAATTAGTCGCTACATCGTTCCCGCATCAATCCCCGTATCATTTATCGCATGCGAATTAACGCGCGCGTGATGTTGATAGGGGCTTAAAAAGAAAATATTTCGCATCAATTCTGTGCGATCATAGAAAACATCCTATATAAACATAGCATGCATAATTTTTTTCCATAAAAAAATATGAGTTTTAATCAAATGTAACGCTGAAATTGCTCTATCCATTTTTTTTTTTTTTTTTTTTTTTTTTTAACGTAAAAGATTTGAATTGTAAAAAAGTGATGCAATATGAATAAATAAATATATAAATTTCATTTTACATTTTCTATATATTTTTTCAACATTTGATGTATCAAGTAATTTAAAAGAAATTACTTAGAATTTAGAAAAAAGTTATTTTTCTGCAGAAATCTTATGGGATGCATGGAAAAGATGGAAGATAGTAAAGTATAATAAAAATTAGATAGAAAAAAACACCCGACGTCGCAAAAAATAGAATGGAAGAGAAGAGATAAATATTTCTATTATAAATTTATTATTTTTTAATTTATTATTGAACGATTATTATTATTATTGTGTCAATATAATTAATATATTTATTTTTTTTGTGGAAAAAACTTTGATTCGGATTTAATCAGTATTCGATGTATCCCACTAGGTTTATTAATGTTAATTTACAAAAACCGTTTATAATAAACGGGGGAATATTCAACAGTCGGCGAGGCGATCCGTGAAAATTATGCTAAGTCGGCTTTCTGCCTAACTTGGGAGAATAGGAAATTAATTCCTAGCCACGCGAGGGGAGGATGAAACCGCGCGGATCCGAAATCGTTAATGGACAAGATAAATCGATCCGCTAATCTCGCTTCTTCCGATCATACGTGCGGCAAAATCCTCCAAAGAGGGAGAAAGAGAGAGAGAGAGAGAGAGAGAGAGAGAGAGAGAGAGAGAGAGAGAGAGAGAAAAAGAGGAGGGAAGAAGAAAGAGGAAGAGAAACCGCCTCTCTTTCCCTCCGAGAGCTTCCGTGAATTTTTCTCTCCGACAAAGCGCGATGACTGTCGTTGGTCGAGGCGACTTTCGTCAGGGAAAGGCAAATATTTAGAGGGCAGTCTAGCATAGTAGCCGAGCCGGGGATCCGTTCTCTGCCTCGGGGTGGAACAAACACCGACCGGCTTCCTCTCTCCCGGTAACGACGAGTATTAAGGGGATACAGCCAACCGCAGGGGGACGAGATCGCCCGACGCGGGGGAGAAGGTCGGACCGTCCTGAGAGATGCCCTTCTCCGGGACACCTTTTCTCGTTCTATCTCGACCATCGGCCCCATATACACTCCACCCTCTCTCGTCCGTGTCTTGTCTTCCGTTTGATCTTTGCTCGCAGTATTTTTTGACGGCGAGTCGAACAATTTGTATGCTTCTTCTCCCCTCCTCCTCCTCTCTCGCTCTCTCTCTCCCTCCCCCTCCCGCCCGGTGGTTTTCAATTTACATTTAAATTGGTTGCTTATGGCGTTCTGTCGTCTCGACGGGAGTCGAACTGAGAGGAAAGAGAAGGAGAGCCCGTCGCCGGTGCACACGGGGAACAGTCAAATACTGAAACGGCCTCGCGAACGTGTGGCGGAACTCTCTTGCCGGGTTCAATGTACCGGCGCCGGTGCTTTTTTGCCGGATACGAGAGAGGAGCGCGCAGGCCCTTCGCGAGAGAAGGGACGACAAAGAAAGAGCGAAGGAGGAGAGAAAGAAACAGAAAGAGAGAGAGAGAGAGAGAGAGAGGAGAAGAGAACTCGGGCCGCGATGCTTTTCTTGTTCACCCATCCGTTATATCAACATTCCGAATCGCGACTCCCGAAGGTATACGATGCAACGCGAGGACGTGAGTCGTTCCTCTCGTTCGGCCGCTTCCGCGCCGCGAGAGGTTTCGGAAGTTCGTGCGAACGACGCCTCCGCCTTTCGTTACTGACAAGATCATCCCGCCGACCATCAAGCCGGGCCACAAGCTTGCCGAAAGATTGATCGCCGGAAGAAACGTCTGCGTGCTCTTGAAAATAAATTAGAGAAAAATATGGAGTATTTTTTTATATATTTTGCATGTCTATACAACTACTTTTTTCATTTTTTTCTTTCCTATTTAGATGCACGCGATTTTATTTCAACATTTGACCGCGCCAATAAATATCTTTTCCATGTTTCTTTCACATGTGTTAATCAAGATAAATTTATATTAGGAAGGATGTAATTTTTTTCATATGTTTAAAGAGATTTTTCTTAATTTTTATTAAAGAATATAATTATTATTTATTATTATTATTATTGTATTTATTGTTATATTATTATTACATTTTATTTTTATTATTACATCTTCCAAGATTAATAATAAAAACTCGATAAATTCATCATATTTAAATACATAAAAAATTTAATAATTTTGTACACATGTATAGGATTTTTGTTTTCAATTGTATTTAAATACGTATTTTATTTCGAGGGATTTGACTGCACCAAATATATATTTCTGAGAGATCATACAATTGACATACGCTCAAGCCGGATGAAATTTACGTCTCTCGAGACTGTCGAAACTCTTTCCTGGAATGGCGAAGGAGTTTTACCATTCGAATGTACATAATGAAGTGTATATAGACACGGTATAAATAGCCGGAAAGTACGTAGTGTGAAATTCGATACAAGTCGCGCGGGAACTTGTTTTTTTTATTCCCTTTCAATCTCACGCCTCGTGAAAGAGGTGCCCGCCCGAGCTTTTCTTGCTCACCCATCCGTTATATCAACATACTAAATCGCAAGTCCCGGAGGTATACAACAAGGTGCCAGCTAGGCAACTGTTGATACCTTATAGATTGGAAACTTCGGTAGTGCGAGGTAACGCGGAGAGGTTTTCGCCCCCTTAGCTTCGTGCACCTCGCCAATACATCACCTTATTATCATGCTGTAATTGTATTTTTTAAATGCATCCAATTGCATCTTATACCTCTACATCGTGATTCGACGTGCAATAATTCTTGTTATCATTTCATCGATGCATGCTTCTACCAGTAATAATAATCTATGACCAAACATTGTATATTGTATATTGTTTTATCGAAATTTATGACAAGATGTTGTTAGATTGCATTAATGCGAGAATTTTGCATACCGCAGAATAGTTGGTGTGTAAGGACTCAGAATTTTTATCAATTTCATTTCCAGGAAGATATATCTATTAATTTTTCGAAATATTATGATTAAAAAAATAATAAATCATTAAAAAAAAATAATTTTATATTAATTATAATCTATATAAATATGTTTTAAGCATTTGTTCAGCGGAAAAAAACTTTATGCAAGCTATTAACAATAATATTTCAAGTTAAACGTGTACAAAATTTTGTTATGAATAACAAAACAGTAATTTAACAATAAGCAATAATTATGCAAACATGTGCAAAAAGTAATACAAATACCCGTTCTCTATGCTTATACATGGGGATCTTTGCGATGTATTTCTCTCCTACCTCCATCCGTTATGCCAACATTAATTAAACGTCGTGACGATGTAATATGTAGCTGGGAGGGGAGAATGGAGGAAACCAGTGCGAGGTTACATTACCAAATAATGTCGGTTATATGTGCTATTTGGACATGCATATGATATATGCGACATATGTATTATGAATATTGTCACATTTTGAAGTTTTGCATATTGCATTTCGCATATTTCCACGAGGATCGAGATGTTAAAAAATATAGATATTACATAACGTAAATAATAATATAATACTTCGATTTTATCTTGTCCTTTTTTTTTATAAATATAAAACTAATTGGTATTTTTACTTGTCGATTTATCAAATACATATCTTCTGTTATCTTCGGAAAATTGGAACGTTTAAGAAGTCAGCATATCTTTTTCCGCAAAAA